AAGCTCTGCCCCCGTAGACCCATGCGAAACTATTTAAGAGATGCCGCTCCACAGACAACCAAAGTTCGCATTCCTTAATCCATTCTCTTTTCGTAACTTTTCCTTGAGCGACCAATTAATTGCAATCCAAGACAAAAAACCCAAAAAATTTGTTGAGTAGTTAAAGATTTTGGTTTAATCGGCTGCCACCAAGCAAATTACAGTTACCGCCGCACAAGCTGAAGCCACTAACTAACCCAATGCCAAAGGAGCCAGACGGAAAAACCCGAATACTCTCTCTCTCTCTCTAACCCAAAGCGCACACAAACAAACACACCTTCTATCTAACCCACGACTAATACCGCTTGTTGGGGCCAGCCAGCGCTCTGCTATGCTATACGATACTATATACTGTACTGTCTGTTAATCTTACTAATGTCCCGGCTGCACGGCAAACAATTATTTTTGACACATTTAATAAGTAGCCCCCAAAAAAACTCACAACAACAACAACAACCACAATAATAATAATAATAATTACAACAACAACGAAACGGCAAACCCTTAACCACAATTGAAACCAAAAACAGCAGCGACACCGAAAGCGCCGACATAAAAGCCACCTCCACCTCCACCGCCACGGCAACAACAACGGCAACGACTACAGGAGCCGGAGCAGGAGCTGGCGCTGGCATTGGATCCGAGGATGTGGGCAACAATGGCAACGACCAGGAGGCGCCGGCCGGCAAGAAGGCCAAGCGGCTGCCAGCCTTTGCCGTTGCCATTTTAAAGCGCTTCAATGAGAAGGATGCCGGCAAGAAGGATGCCAAGGATAACAATGGTGAGACGCTGACAGTGGCGTCAGGCGCAAATGACAACGACAACAATACAACAACAGCAGCAGCGGCAGCAGCAACAACAATCGATGGCAATGACAATGAACCAAAGGTATACAAAAACTGAACCACAGTCCTTGAATAGACCACCACACAAAAGTCTCTCTCTCTTTCTCTCTCTCTCTCTATCTCTGTTGTCTCTTACTATGCGTGCTTGTGTGCGTGTGCGTGAGTGCTTCTACACCATTTAGCTTAGCATAATATTTGTAGGCCAAATATATATGAATTATAAATCGATTTATGATTTTTCTATAATCACAAATTTTTGCTATTTGCTCTCTCTCTCTCTCTCTTTTGCTCTCTCTTTTTGGCTGCTACACAACATTTTGCCATATTATTTTGATTGCTTTTTTTTCGTAATTTCGTCGTGTTGATAACGCATGCAAACAATTTGTGTAACTTGTGTAAATACTCTGTCTATATAATCTGTACAATCTATCGATGTATGCTATATAAAGGCTATAGTTTGGCAGAGCACTTCACCCGTGTGGACTTTTAAGTAAAAAAA